TGTATGTATGTATGTATGTATGTATGTATGTATGTATGTATGTATGTATGTATGTATGTATGTATGTATGTATGTATGTATGTATGTATGTATGTATATGTATGTATGTATGTATGTATGTATGTATGTATGTATGTATGTATGTATGTATGTATGTATGTATGTATGTATGGCAGAGCGCATTCTGTGGGCGCTTGGAGGGGGGGGGTTGGAACCCCCCCCTGGATTGAAGGGGGGGGGGTTCGAACCCCCCCCCACCCACCTTCCCCACCTTCTCCCGTGACGGATGGGGGGCGGGGGTTTCGAACCCCGCCCCCCCCTCCCCCTCCTCTCTCCCTTTCCTCGGGCCGGCGCCGGCGTCGGCGGCTGCTGGCGGCGGCGGGGAGCGTCGATGAAGACGACGTTTTCCTCTGTTGGGCTGGCGCCGGCGCCTCCGGCGGCTGGCGGCGGCGGCGGGGAGCGTCGACGAGGACGATTGCGACGACGATGACGACGACGACAACGATGCTCCGCCACCGTGCCTTGGTTTTGGGTCAGAGTACTAACGGATGCCTCCTGGGTTCTCGTCGGAGGGCTCTCGGGGGCCTCTGAAGGGCACTTGTGAAGCCTGCTGTGCGCCTCTTGGGCGTCTCTTGGGGACTCTCTGAGGTGGTGGTGGTGGTGGTGGTGCGCTGTGGTGGTGGTGGTGGTGGTTGTGGCGGTGGTGGTGGTGGTGGTGGTGGTGTGGTGGCTGGTGGTGGTGGTGTTGGTGGTGGTGCTTATTGTGGTGGTTGTGGTGGCAGGCTGTGGTGGTGGTGGTGGCGCAGGTGGCCAAGCTGGGAGGGAGGGAGGGAGGGAGGGAGGGAGGGAGGGAGGGAGGAGGAGGAGGAGGAGGAGGAGGAGGAGGAGGGCGATGAGAAGGACCATCCCTTTCTTCCTCTGCCCCTCCCCTGTGCCCTGGCGTGGAGGCGGCAGCGGGGGCGCCATCCGCAGCCCTCCCTGGCTGCGCGCCGCGTGGCTCGCGCGGGCGAAGGGCTCCCTGTCTTTCCCTTCCCCCCCATCCTCTCCACGACCCCCACCATCCACTCCCTCCATACCTCCATTCCCTCTTCTCCCCTCCATCCCCTCTTGTCCCCCTCTGATCCCCTCCATCCCCTCCATCCCCTCTGATCCCCTCCATCCCCTCCATCCCCTTCACCACTACTCCCTTCCCTCCCCTGGCGGCATGCCCTCTGTTTACCCGCCCGTCCCTGCTGTCAGTTCCAGCCCTCTCGGTGTCCCAGGCGCGCAGTGGATGGAGGCCCTTCGTCGTGCGGGCGGCGATGGGGGCCACTCGCCCCTGCGCGGTACGATTCCAACGGGGAGTCCTCTGACTAGACGAGGGCATTTCGAGGCGTTCCGCCTGGCCCTCTCGAGGTGGTGATCAGTGCGGCGCCCCAGGTTCTCCTGCAGGAGGGCCCGGTGGTGGTTACCGTGAAGAGAACTCTGTTTGTCCACCCCATCCTGCAGATATGCTTTTTCGCCACAGGTCTGCACCACACGTGGGCTTGCACGTGTTGTTCTCTCTCGGTAGGACCGCTTTCGTTCTGGGTGCTCTCGCTGTAGCGTTGGCCGCATTTCAGGATCGGTGCTTTACCCGCGTCGTCCAGAACGACACTCTCGTCCCAGCGTGGGCCACATGTGAATCAGATTCCTTCTTCGTCGTTGCCGTCCTCCTCCTGTCCCCTCCTCCGCTCTCCGTGCTGATGCCCTCTTGCTCACCATACTCCGCCTGATCCTGCGTCTCCTCCTCCTCCTCCTCCTCCTCCTCCTCCTCTTATCCTCCCTCCTACGCCTCCTCCCCCTCTCCGACGCGCAAAATCACCCATGTCGATTGTGTAGCAAACGATGTATCAAATCTTGCAAGCGCCATTCATGGATCGCGGTCTCGTTGGACACCACAGTCGGGGGGTAGAAGCGGCTTCAACGCAATGGGAACGGATGGGTAAGGAAAAGGAGGAGGATGCGGAGGAGAACCAGGAGGAGGAGGAGGAGGAGGAGGAGGAGGAGGAGGAGGAGGAAGACCAATGTAAACGTCCGTAGCCATTTTGGCTCAAGTAATCCATTTCTCGAGGTGGCTTCCAGTGAGCTTGCGAGCGGTGGGTAGGTAGGCGGCTTTGCCTCGCCCACTTGCTCTTGCCTTCTTCTATCTTTCGGTGACCCACAGGTGGCTGCCAGGCCAGGGGCGCCCTTTCGTTCACAGGCCGAGGGGCCTCATTCCTCACTCCTCGGCGCGCCCCATGCAGGGCAAGGATGTCCTCGTCGGGCCCAAGGGGCCGCGTTGGGCTTGCGGGAAGTGCAGCCGCGCGGAGAATTGGGCCTCGCGCATCCGCTGCGCCTGCAGGGCTCAAGCGCCAGCGGCTGTCAGCAAGGCGGCCAGAGCGGCACATGAAAAGGCGGTGGCTGGCGGGGCTGCGGCGCCTGGGGGGGGCACGCGGGGCCTGGGCACAGCCCAAGGACCTTGCCAAGCTGGTCCATGCGC